TCTGCTCTTTAGCTGCCCTGGTCTGGTGGTGAAATAGCACTGCAACTTCCTCTTCATTGGTGAGGCCTGCTCACAGCCCCGCCCCGATGCAGAGAGCTGGGAAGTGGAGCTTAACCGCCCAGGAAAAGGACATTTTGGTGAGCACCTAGAAGAAGAAGTGATACTGGTGTAAAGATCTGGAAGATGAACATCAGGGAAAGAGTGCTCTAGAAAGATGGAGCAGCTTGTACAAAGACCCAGAAGTAGAAACGGATTAAGAGTGATGGAGGAATGAAAAGAAATCCTGTGTGGCTAGAGTTCTGTGAGGAAGGAATGGGTTAAGATGCAGTTGGAGAGGGAGGCCTGGGCGACATCGCACAGGGCCTGGGAATGAGGTTGTCTTTTGTTTCCAGAGCAATGAGAATCCACTGAAGAATTTTAAGCAGATAAGTGACAAATCTGATTTACATTTAAAAAAGATCACTTGGCTGTGTGCAAAATGATTGCTTTGGGGAGCAGGAATGGATGCAATTAGACAGTAAGGAGGTTATTGCAATTGTCAAATATCCTAGAACCAGGTGGCCAGTCTGAGAAGCCACCTGGGAAGGACAACCTGGGGATAAAAAGCTCTAATTATGGGTCTCTAAAAAGCTGTAAGGGCCTTGTGCAATCACAGAAATGGTTGAGTGTTTGGAGCTGAGCTGTGTCTCTGCCAAGATCATGATGCTTCTCTTGGAACTGTATTCTCTTAGGACTGTGTTATAGGAACAAAAGCTGGAGCTCACCAATATCTGCAGAAGCAATTAGCCTTTACAGGGGATGCTAACAAGCACAAGACATCCATTGCTATCCAAATCCAACTTGATTCTTGTCTCTCACCCCACCCCCCAAATTTCCTTATTTTGGGAGTACTCTTCCCCTGCTGGGGAAAAAAGTTGCAGCAAGCCCAGGACTTTTCAGCTCATTCTTGGTTAACAGTCTTATGCTCATTTTATGATACAAACACAATCTCAAGTAATTAGAATGTTTAATCCTATGTAACAATAAATAATCTGCCCCTGTTGTAGCTTTAACTATTTTCCCTTCCCAGCTCTGCTCCACTTAAGTCCAAGAGCTTGCTATGAGGAAGGGCAGAACAATCTGTATGCTCTCTGCTCTTCTCACCTCCTCTCCACCTAATAGCTGCTGACTGCTTTAGGCCCCAGTGCAGAGAAGGCAGGGAATAAAACAGTTCTTGTTTGACTGAGTGGTTCTGTGCCCTATGGGCCAGGCAGATATTTAAAGGAGACACCCTTAACCCTGGTGGATGCAGCTTTATTCTGGGTGGTCTCCTGCAACTTCCTCCTCAGGCCACATGGCACACTCCTGGCTTCTTTGTGTTGAGGTCTCCTTGCCTCTTCAAATGGTCCTATTGGACAGGACCCAAGATAACCCATGCTTCCCTCTCTCCTGCAAGGTGTGTAAGATACACTCATACATTAGGCGCCATGGCAAATTCTGGGAATGCAGGCCAATGCAAAAGCAGCAGCACTCTTCTGGCTCCACATCGAACCAGTGAGTGAGCCTCTGCTTGCCTTTCCCATTTTCAGGGCAGGAGTCAGACTCTGGGCTCACCATTCCTTGGCTGTAGGATTAAATGCTTCAAGTGTCCCAAATGGTCCTAATGGAGTCTCCAATTAGACTTGAGGTAAAAGGGCAGAAACCAGCCTGCCCCTCAGAAGTGGGTGGGTTCTGACAGTCAGCTGTACTCTGTCTCACAGTAACAAGCTCTCTAGAAAGCAATCTTGCACCAGTCTCCTCCCATCCTATCCTCTTTTTGACCTTGAACCTTAAGTATGCTATTAATACTAGCAATCATAGGGCACAGAGCCACTGTACTTTCCTAAGTCATTCATTCCCTCTCTTAGAAACAATATTCATATTCTCCTCTCCTCAAAACTCCAAAACCTCTTCCCCTATTCTCACTCTCAACCCAAAGTCTACTTCCTGCTTCATTGAGAAAAATCAAAGCAACCAGAAAAAATCTCAAACCCTATCCCGATCCTCTGAAACAGAAACTGGGCGAGGGTTTAGCAATCTGCAATATAACAAGCCTCCCAGATAATTCCACTGCACTCTCAAGCTGGAGAACTACTGCCTTTCACAATGGGGCAGCCCCTCCCACTCCCGTTTGCCTCTTACTACTCTTGCCACTTCTTAGATTTGTTCTCAAGTCGTTTCTTAAACTGGTCTCATTGTTCTTTAAACAGATGGCATGCTGTTATTTCTTAAACATGTATCACTCTCTCTTCAGTCTAGGCTCTCTACATTAGACACTGAAGTTCAGGCTGGACTTAAACAAAAGCTTGTCCTGAAGCTGATGATGGATGGG